TATTTTCATTGTATAATAAGATTTTAGATTTCAAGGAAAAGCTGTACATTTTCAGTAAGACAGAGAGCAGGACATTTGGAACAGAAGTATGGGCAACTACAGATGGACATTTAAATTATCATCCCTTACAAAGGCATTTCTTCCCACTATTTTCCTTCTAAGTACCAGCCCTTAACACCTCCTTAATTCCTTCCTCTGATGATGCCATGTTTTCCTGGGCAAGATATATTATTCCTTTTATTCTTCCTTTTAATGCCCAAACAATTGGAAGTGTCTCTTATTAGATACTTTATTCCTTTTCTCTAAGTGGATTGTAAAAAATATTAATAAGACAGAGGTTCAGGCTTAAAAGAGGTCATATACAAAGAGCAGATGAGATCTTGTTAGCACTCCAATTCCCACTGCATACTTTTAAGACCTAGCTGAGTTCCCTGTCTCAGGGTTTTTTTATTATTCCTGTCAGATTTCCAGTACACATTGAAATGCAACAGTGCCATATAATTTTTCTGAAAGACAGTTTGTTTGGCATTTTAGACAGACATCCAACACAACAAAATGTACTTTATTATACAGAGAGAAAAATATTCTGTGAACCAGGCAGCACAGAACTTACACTACCTGATTAGTAGCAAAGCCAATATTTATCACCTACTTCTGCTCATTTCAGTTTTTGCATTTTATTTTTTTTCCCCTGTTGTTTCATATTTACTATCTGCACTTCATAACTAAATATCTTCATGTGGTTTACCTCTGAAAAAAACAGTCATAACTAGATGGTCCAGACATAATTACCAAAATGCTATCCCATGTCTGAAGTGCTTTTTATGCAGTTACTGTTGCTATTTTCTTCCAGAAGCATTTCAATCAAGCAAGCAATCTGTATTAACTTATTGTGTACACATTTTAATGTAATATACATTATTTTCAGCATCATTCATCCCTGAAGAGACCTTTCTATTTATTTTAGTAGTCTAAATGTTCTTTTTTCAGTAAAGGGATTCTTTTTTCATTACACCTTATGATGGCCTAATTATTAAATGCAATTCCTTGGGACCATAATTTTGGGATAAAGCCTGATACATAGTTCTAGCTTGAAATATATGACCATCCTTATTCTGCTTTAATCCATAATAGATTTTCTCCAGTAAAAATGCATTGTAGCTCCAAATTGATCTATGAATGGTCCATGCAATTCCAATGTCCCTGTTGTTTTTCATGTTGATCATAGAAAAAAAATAATTAACATCTTAATTTTAATTTTTTTTAATTTTTTTTTTTTTACTAAAAAAGTATGCAAGTCTTAAAGTAAAATGTATTAATTCTACCTATGGCAACTTCATCTGTTTATATCATTACAGATAAATTTGAGAACATAAAACTTGTATGATAACTTACACAGCTCTTCCATTTTGGTATTTATACTTCAATATCCAACCCTTTTGACATTGCTTTCAGGAGGCACTTGCCTGTAAACTGGTTCCCAAGTGAAAGTTTCCATTACATTAAATTGGTATTTTGTATAGCCAGCATGAAGTAATCAGCATATGATATCTATTCCCAGTACATTTATTTACTAAACTTCTTCAGTGTCCCTAATCTTTGGCACTAATGGTTCAATAATTAAACAAATTATAATGAACAGTCTTCTCTTGTTCCTTGTTTTTGAAGCACTTGAACCCAATGCACAAGGAAAGTCATTTCACATGCTAATTCAATTCTGAAAGCATTTTTCTTGTTTCTCCAACATCCCAATTAAACACAGAGATCCTACCAAGAAAAACAGAACACTTTTCTGTACCTAGATATTGTGAAAAAGCCTCGTTTTTCAGAATCTGTGATATGCTAAATGTCACACAAGACATTTCATGCTTAAGGGAATTCTTTTTCCTAAAACACACATTGGCTTGCATCAGCATAAACTTTCTTGTCTCTATCTCCTCCAAGACCTGGCAGAAAACCTTTGGCTCAGGAGGGAGGTTGATTAGGTTCATCCTGGTTTGGAAGCAGTTTCTAAACTATTTGAAAGGGGAGAAAGTTGTCAGCTAAGTACTCAATTTCCATTGAGAAAAGAGCCTTCTGTAAGAAGGAAGGTACTTGTGGCCCAAATATTTCAGAGAAGCATCCAGTAGATCATGACTCTTCCCTTTTTTTAATGTGTCTACAACACATTTTTCAGATGTTTTGAAACCCTGCAATATATCAGCTGACCCTTCATGTTTCCATATTTATTAATATGCATTTGTGCAGAGTTATGACACCTGCATTTTACAAATCTCTTAATTTTGCTTGACCTTGTTTCTGAGCACTCCTTGTTCTTGTAGCTGCCTCAGATCATCTATTAAAATTAAATCTGGCTGCTAAAGTGTCTAACTTCTTCCCTATGGAGAAGAAAAAATGCCAAAGGCCACCAGTTTGCAGATAGGAGTTCTTTCTGGGTTTTGGCTCTTGTTTATGCCAGTAGTGGCTCTGCCTGAGAATGGATATTTCACTTTCTTCCTCTCATGAATGTCAATCTCATTAAGGCTCCTGCAAAGTGCAAACTTGTTGCTCTAAGTCTACATGTTTGTGTCTATCTCATGTTTTTCCTAAACCCACTATGCTGGCAAACATATATCCCTTTATAATTGCTTTAAAGGCTCCTTCCTAGGATTCTGAAGATAAATTCTGTAAGAGATTGCCCAGCATATAATTATTGTGTGATTTTCTGGTTTATTCACACTTTCTTTCAGTGCTGCTTAATCTCCCTCTTTTCCTCTGACATGGACTTTATTTTTATGAATACCAATGCACAGTCAGAGATACTGCTGGTCTTATTCTAATACTGAGAATCTCACATAATAGACTTTTTGATATCAAAATTAAATCACCTGGAGTATGTATTTTGAGAGATTCAGAGAAACAACTATATTCTGTTAAGTCATAGAAATCTTCCAAAGTCCATCAGCTCTGGGGTTTATAAACTGATTCCAACATTTAAGCTTTTTCAGTGAAGCTGCTGGAAGACTTGTTTGTGTATCCTGGGCTGGGCTGATGCATCAACAATTATCTGTGAATCCAGAACTGCTGCAAGCACTAATCAAACACTAAAATTTTAAATGGGTAAACATCAGTGACAAAGTCATCTTCCTTCTGCATCTGCTTTGAAACTTTTAGAGTCCAGTGCTACTTGTACAGGCATTAATAAAAACACAGTTTTTAATAGCAGAAAAACACTTCTATAGCAATGCAATTTTGGTGCCATTAATTTTTTCCTTCAGGTGAGATTCCTGATGAGTCACTACCCACTTTTTTTTTTGTTTTACTGGTTTTGATTTGTGCTTTGGTGAGATTTGGCTTGGTTTGGGTTTTTTTTCCCTTTTTAATAAGAAGTATTTTTAATTGCTTGCTTTTGCTCTATGTTTAAAATCTGGAGTTCCAATTTCTGTTTTTACTCTTTCCTTATTTAATAGCAATATTAAGCTTTATCTTTACTTAGTAGTGCCTCCTCATTATGCTTGTAGGGTTGGGCTTTTTTTTTTTTCTAATATCTCCATGTCTCCTAATCAGACTTTTGATTATATTCAACATTGTACCAAATTATAGCATAACTTTAAGCTATAGGTTAGCCCTGTGCTGCATTGTTGCTTTGTTCTATGTTTTTCTGGTATCCATGTTTGCAATGGCAAACTTTCTTAATGTTAGCTCTTGTAGTTGCTACTTGTTATTTGTTGGAAATTTGTTTCTTAAACTGTATCTTTATAATTTTAGCACAAAACTCATTATATACATTTTTTTTTTGCCACCAAGGCAGTATTTTTTCACAGCACAAGCACAGTGTTTTATTACATTCAAAAGGCATCTGAATTCCCTTTCTCCTATAGTTAATGAGCCCTCAGGTGAAATACACTTAACTTGAGTCTAATCAGTGCCTATTTGTTCTTGCTTCCAGCAATGAGGTCAGGAACTTTTGGACTTCCCCTGGCACAGAGAAAGCATGGGTTTGACTTACTTGATACATATTTAGGATTGTTGGGAACTCTGGAGCATAGTGCTCCTATGGAGATGTTTGCAGATCTGTGTTAATAAAGTCCCCTTGGTTGTGCTCTACTGTTGTCTCTTTTGATGTCCAGAAAACTAATCACTATAATAATATAACTCTGCTATGCCTGGATGACTTCATTTACTGCATCCTCAAACCCTGATACCTTCTGAATTTTATTTGATTATAATAATGCAAAGTTTTAGGCATCTGCTTGTCAAGTGGCAAATGAGTTGTACGTCTGTGGCCACGTTTTCAAACTCTGGTATTGTCCTCACACTCTGTTTTTGTCCTCACACTCTGTTTTTCAGTTCTATCCATTAGGTCATAGACTTCCCCGTGCTTGTTCCCTCTCTGTCCCCATGACTCTTGCATAATTGGTTTTACATTGGCCCACTTTCAGTTGGAGATGTTGAAGGCATCCCTTGCTAGCACTGTAAAATAGCCAATTTGTGGATAGGAAGAATGTTCTCATTGAAGGTTGGAGGTGGATGTTTGAATCTCCTCAGCTGGAGAAAAATTTAACCTAAATTCCTTCATTCTGAGAACATTCTCATCACAAGCTTTTGCTGCTTTGTCCTGTTCTTTCCCATGCCCCTTGTGCATTTTAAGCATAGGAAGTATTACTGTCTTTGTACCTTGTTCAGAGAGTTCACTGACTACAGACCTCAAAGAACTCCTTAAATACAAAAGAGCCAGAGTTTTGGACGTTTCCACTTGCACTGCCTATTGCCTAGTTTAAGTTCCCTCCCATTGCTATGTTTGTTGGCTTAACTCTCTTTAGCTCATGTACAGAAAGCTCAAGCACATGACTTTAACTTTTTAACATCAATACCATAGCTAAGAACCCAGTTTTTAGTCCAACACTAAGCACCAAGAGCCCTAGCTCCTTTTGGGATCTATCCCATAACTCTGGCATGTTTTTGTCCTGGATTCCTGAATCTGCAGCCTAAGAACCAGCTGTTTCCTACCCCAGACATACCTCTGGTCCCAAAGAAGCATGTCCCTGCCAGGTTCACCTGGGGACAGCTTGACCTCTAGAAAAAAAAGAAAAAATGGCAGACTAGTGTTATGAATTTTTCTGTCACAAAATAGCCAGAAAAAAAAGGAAAAAAAAGACATATTTTCTTTAAAACAGTAATTAAATAACCCTATCTCCTTCCTCCTAACAGCCTATTGAAAGGACATTTAAATAGAACAAGGAAAAATCTTAATCCATCATATCATAATAGTGACATATTGTTTGGCATGGGCAGAGAATGGTGCTACAGTATAGTGATTAAAGCTTCCATTTATAAAAATTATTTCAATTAGTGCATGAGTAAATATTTAAGTCAAAATTCAGCAGTGCTTAAGCATATGTTTAAATCACACAGAGTATACAATCAGTGTGGCGCACACGTTCTTCTCGTCTACAGTTGAACATTTTGTAATTCTTGGCATTGGTTTGTTTTAGTGGGTCAGAAACACAGAAGGAGATGAAGTGAACCTAAAAAGACACAGTGCACAGAAGATTGGCAATTATCTTTTGTCAGTTACGTTTTTGGGGGTTTTTTTCCCCAAGTGAAAATCAAACTGAGAGTCTAGATTCATTGGCATGAAGGGAAGGAGAGCACAGGCTTCAGTCTTCTGGAGCAGCAACCAACTTCACCAGGATTTCCTTGCAAGAATGAACAATTATTTGGTCAGCAAGGACTTATCAGACATCATGTGCTGCCCTGTGCTTAGCTGAACTGGATCTTTGTGTTCATCCCATTACAATGCAAAGGAGATTTTGGCTAAAAAGAGGTTTAGAATGAATTCATAACTCTTTGTATAAAGTGTCATGGAAGATGCCTCAGTACAACTCCCTCCACCCCTTGTGAGGAGCTGGACTCTGATATTTCCAGATGTGCTGCTCCTGCTGACAGCCAGTCAATTCCAAACTCACTGTCAAGAAAATTTCAGTGCAGATCCAGTGAAGATTCAGATATCAGGTTTTATAAGGTTTTCCCCATCTCCCTTCTGCCCTTCATGAAGCAGCAATGCTCTCTTCAAAAGCAGGATTTGAGTGAGAGGTGCAGCCTTGAAGTAATTTACAAACAGCACAGCAATTTACAAACATATTTCATTACAGTTATCTATTTAGAAAAATTAAAGTAAAATGTTTACCCTCCTAATTGACCATAGGGAACCAAATACTTTGTGAATGTAAATTATAACTGTGATTAAAATATAAGCTACACTTTCTTAATATTCATAGTGATGTCTGGTACAAGCAGCATTAACATAAATTCATATACTTTCTTATCTCTCCAAACCCATGCTTTTATTCAAATGAAAAGTTTATTATTTATTATTCTCTTGGTGGAAGTTGGGGTTTATGCCTTTATAAAGAATCTAAGCTGTCATATTTTCTTTATCCCATATTTGCCAGGTTGCCTTGTGGTTCATTTATTTGTTAAATGTATTGATCTGCTCCAGCCATTATGCACTTCATAAACAGCTGTGGACTAATTGGTATTCATGTGTTGGGAGTATTTCCTCATAGTAGTGGAGCAATACAGTGAAGTTTATAACCAAATGATAGTTCAGTGCACAGCTCAGGAAGTTCAAATACTGAAAAAGCCCAAGTTCAAAAATGTTGTAAGAAATATTAAGTTAATGTTTATAAAGGATTTTTTTTTCCTGTTCTCTGAACATACAAGCAAAAGAACACGAGAGGAAAGCACTGCTGATCAAACCAGTCATTCAAGAACTACATAATCCTGTCTCTAGCAATGTGTATGCAAACAGCTGCACCCTCCTTGAACTTCCTGCAACTCCTCAAAACAGCTTAGAACAACTTCTATTCATAAATAACATTGCCCACCTCTTTTAAAACTCAACTCTAGCTTTTATCTCTTGCCCCTGGAAGGATGCTTAAAGCCAGTCCTGATTCTGAATAGATCCATGAAGACCAAAGCCACAGCCAAGATTCAGACTCTCAAACAGAGCAATCTCTTGTTACAGTGGGTTTATTTAAAAGAGTTTTCAAGCAGCAGTTTAGCAGTCCTTGCCTAAGCCTGTGACTTTGACCAGCACAGGCAGTGAGTTAAATACTTGAATATTCTGAGAGATCCAATTTACATTCTTTTATGAATTTGCTCCTTGCCTGGGGGCTGGCAGCACCAGCTGGCAGCAGGAGCTATCAGGAGCAGTCTCACTTCAGTGAAACCACATTATTTTGATCCTACCTTGTGCCCTGCTAAGTTGCTCATGAAACTGTCCAGTCTCAGCTCCTCTGCTGCCACAGGAGTCTTAGTCTTGCTCACCCGAAGAACAAACACCACACCACCCATTTCTAACCTGTTGGGCGCAGCACTGCGGGGTGAATCGTGGCAGCCTGACCACTTGGGCAAAGGTAAACGCATTTCAAATGTCAAGGTGAAGTCCAGAGACTGCTTGAATCACTTCTCAGCAGCAAGAAGAGGGTTTCCATTAAGGGACAGATCAGATCAGCCTTCTTTCTGGGCTCAAGAGATGAGTTTCCTGAATGTGTCCATGCTGGTACCCACAGAAAGCAGCAACACAAAACAGAGCCATAAATTTCCTGTTGGCTGAGTTCAGTTTTACTCCTTGTCAATTGTGTGGCTTTAGCTGGTAGAAATTAGGACTGAAGGCTTTAGAGCAAGTATTAAACATCAAAAAAGTTTCCTGGTGTATAAATAAACCTTGTAGCTACACAGGAAATATATCTTTGTTTACTTCTGGCATCTTTAAAGGCATCTTCACTAAAATTTGGGAATGAAAAGTTGTCACCTTACTCTGCTAACATGATAGAGCATGTAGTGATCCTCCTGTATTGTGTTACACTGTCTTCTGTGAGAAATAGATTAATGTTATTATTTAAATTATCATCATATACAACAGCTTTAATCACTGACTAACATTGCATTGTGGTTTTGCCACAAATGGTAGAACAGCCATAGAAAATCAAAGAGAACAATTGAAAGTGATATGTTTATTTTTACATCAAATCAGTTATGCATAAAATGTTGATCATAAAAATAAAATATTAACATATTAGCTGTCCTCTTTTTGATTTTCCTCTAGCTTCAAAACAGAGCTCATTAGAGAGGTTTACCTTTGTTTGTGCAAAAAAACAAAGTCCATGTCAATACTGCTCCCAGGTTCTTTCAAACCAAAATTATATCTGGCATGTCCTTTACTACAAGGGAATCCTTTTACATGTGAGGGATTCCACTGAGATTTAAACAAAAAACAACAATCACACTAATGTTCCTTTAACTTTAGGCCTGTACATACCTTATTAAAACTGATGTAGGTGTCTGGAGTTTTAGGAAAGGTGAATGCTTTTGAAATATGAGAGTTTACCTGATTTCTAGGCCCTGTTCTGAGCCTGGAGAGGAGAATATATTTCACCATTTTCCTAGGCTTGCAAGAAAATCATACAAAAATGGTGTCACCCTGTAGGCTTAATTACTTTTCATCACCACTCATAGAAATAGGGATGTTTCTCCCTGTGACAGGCCCTGCAATACAGAAAAAAATAACTTCTGTTATTGTAAAAGAACTGAAACAAGACACAAGAAGATTTTAGAGATACAACACATGAAGAAAAGCACTGGTTTTGACCAAGACGAGGTGTTTTGCTCATAACCAATACCAACATCTGATAATAATCATCTGATTCACAACTGACTAGAAGTTCTGTGGCTGAAATCCATTAAAAGGAGGAACAATGACTCAGAGTCTCAAAAGTGTTGAGCCACCTAACTCTCACAGAAATCAAGGCAGCAAAATACCTGCAGGGGTGATGGCCTTGTCACCTCTCAATAAGAGAAAGGCTCATAAGGCTGCTACAGGTTAAGTACAAGCAGAAGTTGCAGCAACCACAGTCAGCTAATTAATTGCTGTTTTGTGTGGATATATTAGTGCTCCTCACACCTTTGCTCCCAGACCTGCTCCAGTTGGTAGTTGCAATCATCAGTGTGCTCACACTAAGGCTGCATTAGCCAAAGGCAACTTGGGGCTGGAACTTGGGTTCTGGACTCATTCCAGAGCATTAATGTGTTCTGGGTGTCTTTCGTTAACCAGAAGGGCAAGAGCCCCACTTCTACCCACTATATATATATCAACTTAGCAACCAAGGCTGCAGAAAGGTCTGCAGTGTAACTCCATGAGATTCCAGATGTGCCCATGTAGACAGCAAGGCCACATGCCTTTCACCAGAGGTTTTTCCTCTGCTTTGCATGCCTGAGATTTGTCTGGTATGACTTTAGAAAGTCGCCCATGCCTTCATTTAGGGAGGACGTAATTTATCTTTGTAGTCCTCCTGCACCTCAAGTCAGAAGACAGAAGACACATTCATAATGCATGGCTTTGTGATGTGTGCTCCATGACAGCTACAATCTGTGAAGCACACACCAAAACTCCTTGAGAAAAGCACTTGCTGAGAGCTGGGGCCAGTCACACGTAACACCCCTCTCCTCCACACCACATTTTACAGTGGTGAGGGCACTCTTTTCTACCCTCCATCTCAAAGGTTTCACTGCTGGAAAACTCTTCAGCATCTGCATATCCAGCAATGATATAAACACACATCTGTCTCCAGTTCATTGCGTCTCACCCTCTGAAACAACATATTAGATTTAAAGATACATTTAAACAAGGGAGATTTGGAAAATTGCTTATCATCTTCAGAGTCACTGAAAAATTTAAATGGCAACTACATTACAAATACATTTAATCCATTAGTCTGTCTCATGTAACTGAGATTAATAAATGCAAGGCTTAGATTTGTTCCTCCAGCATCCAGCAGTGCATGTTTTCTGACGAGTCATCTTGCTTTTCCGATTGCTCTCATTACAGGCTCAGGGAAGAGCTCAAGTCACTTTTTAAAATGTACCCACTTCCTGAGACTGCTTTTAGAATAGCCAGAACAGCAATCCTCTTGTGTTAGCAAGCTGTGGCTGTCCTGGAACGTGGATCTCCAGCTGGCTGGGGAGCAGGCACCATCCAGCCCCTTCTCCCCTGCCTCAAAGGCACTCCCACACGGACACTGAGCTGTGCACCCACCCAGCTCGGGTGCACTCATGGGATCATTTTAGGTGAATGATCTGTCTTCTTCACCAGCTCCACATCCCTTTCCAGTCTGCTTGGAGGTTACAGCTGTGTTTAAAACCTTGAGGGGGGTATTTTTCCCAGTAGATCACAATGGCTGAAATCAGTGGGAGATTTTACAGTAATGTAAATGTAACATGGACCATTAACAGTCCATGTAAAGAGGTACAGGCTGGAAAATCTCCAGTGAAGGCCTGTGCCTGAGCAATTCTGCAACTTTAAAAAATGTGTTGTACTGGCTTAAAAAGAAAGAAGGGGGAAAAGGTTTCATATATTTTTCATGGCTCAGTGTAAAATGTTCCTCTTAATTTGCACATTCCTTACATGCAATGGCTATGGAATTTATGAATATTGTCATTCATGGAGGCAAAAGTTGTAAATAACCCACCTAGAATGTGACTTTTAAAAAGAAGGAATGTGAAGCCCTTTTGGGTAGAAGATATGTCCTTCTGGATTATGCATGTGACACTCCAGTGTTAAAATTAGGGACCATTTAAACTACATTTCTCTCAGATTTTTCTCCCTCTCTTTGCCAAGGCTTTCAGAGAGGGTTTTATTTTTTTTCTTTATGATACCCTGAGGAAATACCTCTCATGTTGGGTCAGCATCTTGAGCTGTCTACAGCATTTTCAAGACTAGCTTCCGAGGTTTTGCCCTCTGAGAAAATCAATAAAAAGGAAGGCATGATGTGATCATACATTAGCTGGCCACAATCTCCCTGTATGGCTGCGCTCAGTGGCTCCAGTGGAGCTGCCCTTCCTGAGCAACAAGAAAAGTCACAACAATGTGAGTGATGCACCACAGTCTAGCTCCCCTGACCAAAGTAATGCCATTATTGTATTAATTTAAAATTTCAGTCCCTCAGAACCATAACTCCCTTTTCCCAACTTCCCCTGGCCTGTAGCAGTTTAAACTCCTGGTTGCTGGCCAAGGGCCTCTGCTGGGAAGAGTTTTCAACCCAGGTCCCCTCAAGTCCTCCAAGGAGTGTCTGAACAGCCCATGTCATTCCCAGATTTTGGTGCACCCATACCCCTGCAGAGGTGTAAGATGGGTTCTGGTTCATACCTGTTCCCTTGCCCAGGAATAAAGTCTGACCCACAGCATTGCCATTACTTAGTTTTTAGAGAACTAACACGGGTGAGATTTTCTCGTCTGCTTTCACTAATTTATTGTTAGCAAGATCTCCAGAGTATTGGTTGTAATGACTGCCCTCAACAGATGAGACCAGGACTTGGTAATCACTACTGAGTGATCTGTGGAAGAAATTAAAACTAATCCAAACAAGCACTTTCCATGGTGCATCTCGCCCACCAAGCAACCCTGCTCAGGGATGGAAAATTTCCTTTGCAATGTCCACAAATGATCAGTTTCTGCCTTGAAGCACTGAGCTGGATTCGATTACACTGAAATCATTATTTCAGTTCATGTAACTCCAGACTACTAGGGATACCCAATGACTCTGGCACACTGGGAATTCAATCAAATGTTTATACTAAGGGGGACTATTTACTTCAGCCCCTAGAGGTACCACTTTAAAAAAATCCCCTGAATATCGCTGAAATTAATATTAAGCCTTTATACCCTCATGTATTTTTGAGGATTTATATATGTTGAGATATCATTTTTCCTACCACTTATCCTCTTACATACTCCCACAATATCTCATCTGTGGCATTTTCCCAGATGGGGCCCACAGCAACGTTCTTGTAGCTTTTGGCTCACTTAACACTCCCGCTTAACAAAATCCTTCATTTGATGAGGTCTTCTCTGCTACAACACCCAGCTCTACAGAACCCCAGCACTGCCTGTTGGTAACTGCCCTGCTTGCTACATGGCATCCTCTGTGCACAGCACACCCCAGAAGTGGCCATGGGTCTAATTCTCCTCTGTCCTGCAGTCTCCTAAGGAAAAGGAAGCTCTGGGAGCACCCACGCAAGCCACTGCCAGAGAAACAGCAGAAATTTGGCATTCTGCATCTGTGTAGGCAACAAGACAAAGTGAAAGCAGCAGATAACTGAGCTCTCTATTGCTTCTCTACCATCATTTTCCCGTTTTCAAAGGCGTTCCAAATGGAATGACGGGGCTGACAGCCTGTGCACTGGCTTCGATGGGCTCTGCCTTAAATTTCTATTTCTGGGTGTGAAGACCTAATTTTCAGAGGCAGATAATTTTTGAAACTGAGCCTATATCCCTTTCACTGCTCTTGATTTACATGCAATTTGTCAAACAATTAAAATGGGCATATTGTCATCATAAGGCCAAAACATCTCTTCATCTCTTCTTCATTTTCATTTTCCCACAGCATGTTTTTCAACAAGTGAACTTGGCATTGAACAAATCCTCCTTGCCTCTCCTGACTGAATGGGGCTTCAGTCACCCTGCAAATGTTCACATGTGGCATTTCATCTGATTTCATCTCTGTGTATTCAAGCACACATTCACATTTTCTTCTTCCATTTTTCCACCCATCATGAGCTACTTTTATTCCCTAACAACCCCTTAACTTGTACAGACTCTTCCACCTAAGCCATTTTCATATTTGTCTTTGAATTGAGCACTAGTGGTGTAGTCTGTGATGTACAGGTTTTTTTCCAGGTATCTCAAAAATTCTCAGTATTTCTTAAATTTCTAAAGTCAGCAAACAGGGAAAAACACCTGCCAATTATTTCTCTGAACTAAGCCAGCTTTTCTAAATCAATCAGTGTGCTCCCATTCAGATATTTAATCATCCTCTGCTTCTCTCAACCTGCCAATTCATGCTGCACTTCTGGCAGACCAAACTGATATTTAGATTCTATTGAGCATCAATCCACATGGTTGTTTGCACACAGGTGTGCCATGAGGTTCCTGCCACTTGTAGCAAACATGTCAGGAACCTAAGCCACACATCTCATCCAGAACATTTGCACAGTGGAGATAACAACTCTGCCACTCTCCCAGGAGGGACTACAAAAGATGGACACAATGGGAGGGTTTTTATTTTTGTACTGTCACAGATCCCATAAACTCCATACCATACAACTATTTTAAACAGTGTTTTTAAGAAAAATTGGAAAGTGTGATGAAAGATTGGGCACTAGGAGAATCAGCTAAAATTTTAGAGAATCACAAATTATTTTCTGCATGTTAGACAATGTTCCTTTTACACTGTATCCAACTGATTTTCCTAGGAAATGTCAACATACAAGTGGTTGCCATGTGTTCCCTGAAAATTGATACTATACTTAGGAACATAAGAATTAAAAAAAAAAAAAATCTGCTAATTAATGAAGAGTTTCCACTGCCAATTACTACAGCTGAGTTCTTCACCTACAGAAATCTTCTAGGTTTCTTTATTTTAAAAAAATCTATTAATAATATTCCTAAATAGTATCAGAATTTTGTGATGTAAGTAAACTA